GACCGCGCCACAACGTAAGGCAAATTCAGTATGCAAATATTAGTTCATGATTAGTGAACGATTACTATTATTTTCATATTTATTACTACTACTGCTATTAACAGTTTTTGATGCTCAACACATAATGTGTTAATAAAGACGTAATTTGTTCAAAAAATCATTTTCAGAGACAAGGTTTTTGTGTTTGTTTTTGTGTATTTTAATCTCCATTATACAACACCTTACATAGCCTAAGATTCATGAAGCATTTTTGAGTCACTTTATTTTTAGTTTATAATAAATTCCCTTCAAGTTGTCATGTAATTGAAAAATAACTTGCCAATGATATGTAATAACTAAATATCTTTTATGCATTTGATTCTTGAATTTATTAAGTTGATATATATATAATAAGTCAATCAGTGTAAAGATCGTCAGCTTTGGTCTTCTGTCATATGTTTGTAGCATATGATGTTTCAGATATTATAAATACTTTATACACACTCTTGGATTGTTTATTTTTTTAAATACAACCTTAAAAAGATAAATCAAAATATACTTATATAACAGAAGACATTTAAAGTGCAAAACAAGCTGTGAAGTTATACAAATAAGTAAGTTTTAAAATAAACTAGATTTTAAAGTTTGCACGCAAACTTCGATGTTGGCTTGTGTTGGTGCCATTAATACCTATTTTTTAAAATGTTGTCAGTTCCGCAACAATAACATAATCCAACCCCCATGTCTCTATGATTCTCATAAGCTGAGATAGGTACATGAAAAATTGGTTGCTATGGTAAACAGTCTGGTTGCTATGGAGGAGTCAGTGACCTAACACATTGTTCCCCATGTCAATACATCAACCCCCATGTCTCTATGACTTTCCTAAGCTGAGATAGAGCTGTGCCATATTGGTTGCCATGGTAAACAATTTGGTTGCTATGGAGGAGTCAGTGACATCATGTTGTAATCTACTTTCCATTTAGAATAATATAAAGCAACCCCCATGTCTCTACTGTGTTCCATTTAGAAGATATTTGACATCAAAAGTTATGTCAAAAAAGTGGGTGTGGCTTAATTAAATTATGTTAATTCACAAGCAATGATGGGCAGGATAAGTGATTTGCTTCCTTAATGCTTGTATGACTTTCCAGTGTCAATCAATTACAGAAGCTCTTTCACAATAGGATCCATGGGATTCATGCTCCATTCATTTCAATGGGCCATTGAAAGTCTATGAGACACCTTTGACCTACTTATTAGTAATCAACTGCACCTGCTGGAGTTTCAACTGTCATATTTTCAAATGATGGCAAATCTGCTGGAGAAAGTCCGATTACCATGCCTCAAACAAATAAGGATTACGAAAGAAGGACCAGACATATTGAAATACTTCCTTGACTGTTAGAATCAGAAGATTTTAAGGAAGAGAATGGTGTAAAATTTGTGAAGCTGTGATAAGGTTTTTAAAGATTTTGTGAGTTAGAAATAGCCTTCGATTGAGATTTGAAACATTTGCTGGTAGAAATTTTGAAAGGAGGTCAATGGAGCAATTATGCGCACTCCTTGTGGTTTAGGCCACCTGGAGTAAAAACCGTGTGTTTTTAAAAAACGTAAGACAACAGATGACACAACTTCCATACTGCAGTGCATGAGTTCTAGGAAGATTATAGTCCTTTTAAGATTGCCAATCATCACATCAAGACTTAAAGAACATGATGTGCATGCTTTTACTGTTCTGTCGTTAAACTTTTCAAGTTAAGATGTAACATGTGCTAAAAAAGTCCCCAGAGTCAAAAAGAAAGAACTGATTAAAATTGTACTTTATTACTAAATTAAACAAGATCTAATGCAGCTATACAGTCTCTAAGATGACTAACTTGCCAATAAGAACAGTAAGCTTGATGCTCTAGCTTTTACTGTCCTGTTTTAACACTTTTCTTCTGTGTGGAATCAGTTTCTCATTTCCAAGCGTTTAAAGACAACAGATGACACTGAACTTCCATACTGCAGTGCATGAGTTCTAGGAAGATTATAGACCTTTTAAGATTGCCAAACATCACATCAAGACTTAAAGAACATGATGTGCATGCTTTTACTGTTCTGTCGTTAAACTTTTCAAGTTAAGATGTAACATGTGCTAAAAAAGTCCCCAGAGTCAAAAAGAAAGAACTGATTAAAATTGTACTTTATTACTAAAACAAACAAGATCTAATGCAGCTATACAGTCTCTAAGATGACTTACTTGCCAATAAGAACAGTAAGCTTGATGCTCTATCTTTTACTGTCCTGTTTTAACACTTTTCTTCTGTGTGGAATCAGTTTCTCATTTCCAAGCGTTTAAAGACAACAGATGACACTGAACTTCCATACTGCAGTGCATGAGTTCTAGGAAGATTATAGTCCTTTTAACACCAACTGAAAGAGGACAAAAATCTCTACCATTTACATATAAAATGTGTGTGCAAAGGTTAATTTTTATTTTAGCAAGTATCAACAAGACTGAGCTGGATTTAGAAAAAGCGTATGACAGGGTGCCGAGAGAGGAGCTATGGTCCTGTATGAGGAGGTCAGGAGTGGCAGAGAAGTACGTCAGAATAGTTCAGGATATGTATGAGAGAAGTAAGACAGCAGTGAGATGTGCTGTAGGTCAGACAAAGGAGTTCAAAGTGGAGGTGGGGCTACATCAAGGATCAGCTTTGAGTCCCTTCTTATTTGCTATGGTGATGGACAGGTTGACAGATGAGGTCAGACAGGAATCTCCGTGGACAATGATGTTTGCAGATGACATTGTGATCTGTAGTGAGAGCAGAGAGCAGGTGGAGGAAAACCTGGAAAGTTGGAGGTCAGCTCTAGAAAGAAGAGGAATGAAAGTCAGTCGCAGCAAGACAGAATACATGTGTTTGAACGAGAGGGAGGGGAAGAGAACAGTGAGGTTACAGGGGGCTGAGGTCAAGAAGGTGCAGGAGTTTAGGTATTTGGGGTCAACAGTTCAGTGTGACGGGGAGTGTGGAAAAGAGGTAAAGAGACGAGTGCAGGCAGGTTGGAGTGGGTGGAGAAAAGTGTCAGGGGTGTTGTGTGACAGAAGAGTGTCAGCAAGAATCAAAGGAAAGGTGTACAGAACAGTAGTGAGACCAGCTATGATGTATGGGTTGGAGACTGTGGCAGTGAGGAAGAGACAAGAGGCAGAGATGGAAGTAGCAGAGATGAGGATGTTAAGGTTCAGTTTAGGAGGGACGAGGATGGACAAGATTAGGAACGAGCACATCAGAGGGACAGCTCAGGTTGGTTGTTTTGGAGACAAAGTCAGAGAGGCCAGATTGAGATGGTTTGGACATGCAGAGGAGGGATAGTGGTTATATTGGTAGAAGGATGTTGGAGATGGAGATGCCAGGCAAGAGGTCAAGAGGAAGACCAAAGACAAGATATATGGATGTGCTGAAAGAGGACATGAAGGTAGTTGGTGCAAGAGTAGAGGATACTGAGGACAGAGTTAGGTGGAAAAGGATGATTCGCTGTGGCGACCCCTAAACTGGGAACAGCCGAAAGGAAAAGAAGATCAACAAGACTGAGCTTACTCGAAGTTAGAGTGGGCGATGACATCACCACTCTAGGGGCCCCCATCGAGAAAAAATGTTAAGCTTTTTTGGGAGATTTACATGATTTTTAGGGAAACCGCTTGTCAAATCGGTCCGAAAAGACATAGCAACAAACTACATAACAGCTTTGAGGTGTGTGGAAAGTTTCGTGACTGTAGCTCGAACGGGCTAGGAGTTGACGGTAGTTTTTTTGTTCTAAGAAGAAGAAGAAGAAGAAGAAGAAAAATTTGGCTCAGAAGAAGAAGAAGAAAAAGAATAATAATAAGTTTAAACACAATAACAATATGTTGGCTTTGCAAGCAAGGCAACATAATAAGTTTAAGAGAGATAACAATATGTTGGCTTTGCAAGCAAGGCAACATAATAAGTTTAAGAGAGATAACAATATGTTGGCTTTGCAAGCAAACATAATAAGTTTAAGAGAGATAACAATATGTTGGCTTTGCAAGCAAACATAATAACGTTTGTGCCAAAAGAGCTATATAAGAATAATGATAAATAAAAAATAAATTAGAATCAAAAGATACTAAATAACATTAACATATCAACACTAAAATCACAATGTAACACACAAATTATTGGACATCTAGCAAATTATGAGCCGGAAAGAGAAAAGACCGAAATGACCCGGAGGAGTCGGTTTTGCAAAAAGATCTAATCTTTTCGGGTTCCGGCTCATGGCCACTCAGTAATGTTAACCAATGCAGCATGAGCCGGAAACAGAAAAGACCGAAAAGACCCGAAGGAGCAAAAAGAATGAATCTTTTCTGATCCCGCACTATAGCGGTCACGTGACAAAAGTGCTAAAGAAGCCAGTCCGGACTGAGTGCACAGACTGCACACGTTAACATCAGAGAGAAGTAATTTTGTGTCGAACAAAAGAGATTTAAACCTAAAGAAGACAGATCAGAGGTTGGGTAAACCAGACTAAAAGACCCAGGTAGGCTTTAGTAATATATTTATATTCATTTTAAATTTAGCATTATAGTTTTGTCGTATTTGTAGTGTGATTCGCGTTTGTGTATAAAATGCTAGTAGATGTGGAAGTAACACACAACATTTATTGATATTTTAGTAAAATGAACGAAATGACTCGAAAAAAAATCAGTTCATTTTACTGAACGAGACTCAAAGAACCGAATCCGTAAAATTATCCAAACTTCCCATCACTACCACACACCGGAACGAGCGCGGTCAGCTGGAAATGACGCATGACCCAAAAACGCTCAGAACGCCCTAAATACTAACGCACTGCTCTGCAATAGGGCAGTGCAACTGTCACTCAACTGCTTCCCTATGATGACACCGTCATTCATATGGTTACGCATGGAAGGGGGGGTGTTATTTGGTTTGCCATCTGGAAACAAAACTACAGATGCAACAAGGGTGGACAATTTAGGTGTTAAACAATAATTAAAGCTGTGCTCGTCCAGGATTTGAACATGTGACCTCTCACACACTAAGCGAAAATCATACCCCTAGACCAGGGGTTGGCAACCCAAAATGTTGAAAGAGCCATATTGGTCCAAAAAAAAAAAAAGCAAATATGTCTGCTTAGAAGCCATATAATGAAGGCAACACATGCTGTGTGTATCTATATTAGCCTACTATCAAAGTTAGCTACAATTACATAATGAGCCTTCATGATTAAATGTTTATTTTCCCTGCAGCGCATCCTGTAGAGCAGTGGGTGTCACACTCATTTTCACCAAGGGCCACATTAGCATAATGGCTTTCCCCAAAGGGCCAGATGAACTTATAAATGTAAAACAATGTAATGTTAAATAACTCATTATTTATAAGTTATTCAAGTGACAATTCAGTTACATAGAAACAATTTTGTGCTTGTTCTAATATAAATAATTTTTGTCAGCTTATGAAAATCCAGATAACTCTATTAATGAAGGATCAAACTGTCCAAGTGAATAAAGAAAAATAGCATTTTTGTAATTTGTTTAGCAAAAAAAAGAAAAAAACCCTCACAGACTGAAGACGATGCATTACGATCATCATCTTTTATCTTCAGGCTCAAGAAACAGATCACAGATAAACTATTAGCTCCGCCAATTTCACATCTTGAAATTTATTTTAGCATGAGAAATGTGTGAGTGTTAGGTTTAATGTGTGAGAAACGGCAGCTCTGCAGTTTCACTCGTGAGTATGGATGCGGAAGCTGCGGCTACCGCATAAGGCATTGTGGGAAATGTAGTTTTCGGTTTTTTTTTTTAGACACTCAAAACTTTTAAGCTCTCACGGGTCACATTAGATTACATAGCGGGCCACATATGACCTGAGGGCCTTGAGTTTGACACGTGCTGTAGACTCTACAGTGTAGAGCAGGGGTGCTCACACTTTTTCAGATTGCGAGCTACTTTTAAAATGACCAAGTCAAAGTGATCTACCGCTACAAAAATTTAAAACATCAATCAACAAACAATTGTTTTCAACTTTATTGAGAATTGACAAAACACACATAATAATTAATTATTTACATTTTTTGTAATAACGTGAGTTTAATTTGATGACTTGCACTGAATTGAATCATTACAACAGTTGTGTGTGACCTGAATTGATGGTAATAGAGTGGTTTTTGTGGGAGCAATTGAGCTTTGATCCAAATAATCAAGAATAAAAATGATGCTCTAATAAATATTTCAATATTTGTTGAAACTGAGTCGTGTAGTACAATATGCAGGTGAGGAGTGGCGTGTTGCTTGATTTTGGTTGTAATAGAGCAATTTAGAAACTGCGTCAGCGGGCTGCGCATAGACGGTATTGTGTTTCTGTGATCGACGTAATGAGCACCCCTGGTGTAGAGAATGATGCACAACGTGACTACTCTGTTGAATCCAAGTGTCCTGTTTGGTCACGTACTGCTCGAGATTGTCAGCATCGTTTCAAAAGACAAAATGTTTGTTCCACTTTCTCTATTGTCATAGAGACGTAATGACACAGTTACGTTATGTTGTTTGGTTGAAGTGAGAACTGACCAATGAATAATGGGGGCGGGAATAAAAAGGAAAATACATAGAATGTAACGGTGGACATAAGAGTTACTTGATAGTAGAGAAGTGTCCTTGTAAGGCTGGTCCATGGGTTGATCCAAAAACGGGTTTCAACCATGGATGAAGGTTTTCAGCCGTGTTCTGTCTTTCAGAGCTTGCGGGAACTTTAAATATTGAATTTAATTTTTATCTGACTCCATATTTTAATAAGAAGGTTAGTGTTTACCTTTATCATTAGCTTTGATTAAAGCTATAGTAAACTATGTATTAATTAACTATGTGTTAATAATTAGAGAAATGCACTCACTTGTTATAATTAACCCTTTAAACCTTTGTTACATAATGTGATACTTTAGTTCTTAGCATTTACCATTATTTTAGAAAGTGATTAGAGAGCAACTATTGACAAGATTGAACATCTCATTTATTAACAAACACTTAGTTACACAGCAAAAAGGTGAAACAATAGCAGAGGCTACATGATCTGAAAAGGCTCTAAGCCCTCCAGATCACAGGCATATTCAGAAACAAACAGACGCGAGCTCCTCTTGCGTTCTTCCTCAAATACCATCCCAATCCAAGTCCACTCCCATGGGAGGGTCTAGTTGAAATGTAAATCAGACAGCATGTTCGAGAGACCACGTGACCATATATGGTGTTTCTCAGAGACAAAGTAATCGAATCTAGTGTATCTTTCAGAGGCAGACGCCATTGTTAACCAAAGTATTCACAGATGCGGATGGTAATTGCTTTAACACCTTCGCAACACAAAACTCAGGGAGTGGTTGAGAGTCTCAATCCCCCTGGTTTAAACTCCTTCCACACTGTTAGATTTCTGTTGAGATATTTACACATTCACAAATGTTATTGTATATAAATATATACATAATTATTCACAATCTTACATCCTCGTGGATATGTTTGTTAACTTGTTCTTACAAATAAATAAGAGACGACCTAAAGTGTTGTAAGAAGACATTTATTTGACATCTATCTCACCCGATCTCGGTCTACTCTTCGTCTCTGTTCCGCACGTTATTGTTGTTACCCTGGATTGTGCGCGGCATTTCGTTACGGTTTCCCCTGCAGGTACCATGGAGATTAGCTCGAAAGGTGAGATGCAAGTAAAAAATAAGAGATCTGTAATTAGTTTACACAGAGCTTTTTCGAATCTGCCTTCAACAGCAGTCCACTAATAAATTTAGAGAATAGAGATGAAAACACGGTGAAATCGTATTACTGTAATTTAATGGGATGGAATTTTCATTGACAGTACACTTTGGTAAAGTTTGGTGTCCAGGAACGGATAAAGTCACATGTTGTGTGCTATCCAATAGAGAGCCAGTCACATAAATAAGTCCAATAGCAGGACAGCGCTATTGGCTGTCGGAGTGTCCAACAGTAGGAGAGTCCCAGTCTGAGTGTGCCAGTGAATGTCTGAAGCCAGACACTCTTGGATCTGCAGTGCTGGCTACAGCACAAGCTTAACTCAAAGTTCACAGTACAACTGTTTTCTTCTGTAAAACTCAGATCTGAATGGATGAAATATTCAGCCAAGTCTAATTATTCACATTAATATCTCAGTCGAACCCTTTCCAAGAAGGGGAGACTGTTGCTCTTGATGTACAGCACATAGCATGAGTCTCCACAGCAAGCTCTTCAGAATCAGACTTCATCGGGGTGTCAGGATGAACTCGAATCCAACAGCAGACAAACTGTAGGCACATAAGATCTCTTAATGTCAGCAGAACAGTTTTAGAATTATAACATTAAAAATATTAAACAGTGTTAAGGATTTTTTTTCATTAATTAGACCTGCGATGCACCAGCAGACCCTCATGACCCCGAAAGGGAATAAGCAAGCAGCAAAATAAAAGAATGATACGTAATTAGGAAGTGACTATCAGTCATAGAGCTGGGCGAATGGCTGAAAACTGTTATCGGTCATTCATATCCGCCGATATCGATAATTATTGTTATTTTTTATGACTTACATGGATGTGAGCGGTACAGTTCTCAAGCGCAGGATGCATGAGAATCCAACTATTCATAAAAAAACATGTTAAATAATTTTACTAAAAACAAACAATGTTCTTAATCTACTCCATATAATGAACTAAAATAGAAACTGTTTACAGGAACGAGGTCATAGTGAATTCTCGTGCTTGAGGAAACATGTGAAGAGCATGACGCAGAACGAACAAACGCTTAACACTGACATTCGTTCATTATTAAAGCAAGGAAAATATAAAATATTTCCATTTATTTTTAAGCAAAAGGAAACAAGTTAAAGAAATAAAAGTGTGGTGATGAAGCTGTGAACCCTTTTTATTCTCCTGCGTGCTCTGAGCAGGCGCCCATGCTTTAGGTACTGCTTACTGTGGTGGAAAGAGGAGGTTGGGAGGAATCCTCTTATTGATTGAGAAACGACGAGCATCCTGACATTTAGATTAATGTTTATGTGTCAGAGTGAGGCCTGTCTGAAAAAGCGCACAATCCGAGCGCATGCTTTAATTGCGACAGAGCAGAGAAAAGAATTACCAGCAGCTTGAGAAAGAGAGACACAGACTGTGACAATTACCGTATTTTTCGGCTCATAAGACGCACTTTTTCTTCCCCAAAACTGAGGGGGAAAAGTTGGTGCGTCTTATAGACCGAATGCAGAGCGCCGCGAAGTCCGGTCACGGCCGTATGAGAGGTGTAAGAGCTCCGGAGCTAGGCCAAAGCCGCGGCCATATTTGTACACCCGGCACTGCGCGCTGACGTCATCGCCCATCTCTGCCATAGCACGGTCGTAACGAAAACGGAAAAAAACTACATTTCCCACAATGCCTTTGGCTTCCGCATTCATACTCACGAGCGAAACTACAGAGCTCAGCTGCTGTTTCTCACACATTGAACTAGAGTTGTTCCGATTCCGATACCAGTATCGAAAATACCGATAACATTTTCATAAACATAACCTAGTTATGCCCGCTAGCTTTGCTTATCGCTGCAAAGCGGAAATCATTTCTTCTTCGCTGGCGCTGGTCAGAATGTAAACACAGGAAGTTGTGTCGTGTTGCCACAAGCAACCAGGGAGAAGGACAAGCCGCTCCAGACGCAACAAACATTGGAAGCTTCATTCAAACAAAGAGAAAAGTTTTCACAAGACATCCAACGAGCAATAATGATAACCGACAGGATTATCGAGTTTATTGTACTGGATGACCAGCCACTGTCAGTGGTCGAAAAGGACGTGCCAATGATTAGCTTCACTACTCACATCTGGAGCTGTACACAGTGACGCCGTCACCTTTTACTCTTCAAAGTGCAGTCCTGCAGACTAACGAGTTTCACGACTCGCACGCATTCATAGCTGAATCAATCGAGGGTATGCTTGTGAAGTGGAATATTTCTGAATCCTGTGTTTATTTTATTTTGCGCGACAACGCAAGCAACATGAAAAAAGCGGAAGTGATCCCCTCAGGTACAGTTCTAAAACGGCACC